GCCTGGGTGGCTCAGATGGTTAAGCGTCTGCCTTCGGCTCAGGTCATGATCCCAGGGTCCTGGGATCGAGTCCCGCATCGGGCTCCCTGCTCCTTGGGAGCCTGCTCCTTGGGAGCCTGCTTCTCCCTCTGCTTCTCTCTCTCTCTCTCCCCCCCTCTCTCTCTCCATCTCTCATGAATAAATAAATAAAATCTTTAAAAAAAAAAGAAATCTGTTGTTACTTTATAGTTCCCTTGTTGCAGTGTTGGCAAACATATTAAAGGGACAAATGGTAAATATTTTGTGGTTTATGGGCCACGTGGTTTCTGTGGTCTAGGCTGTGACTACTCAGCTTCTGCCTCTGTAGGCTAAAGCAGCCACACACGATACTTGAATGAATGGCCAGGGCTGTGCTCCAATATTTTAGTTACAAAATGTTTGCCAACCCCTGCTGACCAGTGAGTCGTTCCTTCCCTTTGATTACCTTTTAAGATCGCTTTGCCTTGATGTTTTGCAATGCCACTATGCTTTGTCTAGGTGTGGATTTCCCTTTATTTTGTTTGTGCTTCCGGAATCTGTCTTCTTTTTAAAAAGTCAATTCCGGAAAAATATTAGCCATTATCTTTTCAAATATTGCCTTTCTTACATTCTTTTCTTTTTCTTTTTTTTTAAGATTTTATTTATTCACTTGACAGAAGGAGAGAGCACAAGCAGGGGGAACGGGAGAGGGAGAAGCAGGCTCCCACGGAGCAAGGGTCCCGGGACCCTGGGATCACGACCTGAGCCACCCAGGCACCCCGTCTTTCTTACATTCTTTTTGGGACTCTTGTTTGTTTTATCCTTCATAATCCTTATTGTTCCTTCATATTTTCCTTCTATCTCTTTGGGCAGTACTTGATGAATTTTTTTCAGTTCATTAATTCTCTTTTCGGCTGTTTACCCTGTCCATTGTGGGTTTTGATTTTAGGGACTCTGTTTCTCATTTTTTAAAAAGTGACTTTTGGGAAAACTTTTTATTAAAGCTGAAGATAACTGGGTAGGTATGTATTTATCAGAAATGCATACATGTTTGCTGAAAGATACAAATGTGGTCACAACGATACAAAGCTAGAAGCAATCCAGATATTCAATAGTAGAATGGATAAATTTTGATATATTCATACAATGGAAGTAATGAGAATATACAAAAGTGAAAATGAATAAACCATTGCTGTACACAACTGCATGGAAGAATCTCATAAAAACACTACTGAATGAAAGAATCTAGACACCAAAGAGTATATATCATATGATTCATTAATACAGGTTCAAAGTAGGAAGACCAGATCTGTAGTATAAGGAACATAACACAATTCTAAGATGGCCTGCAAGGTTCACTCCCACAGGTGTACATGCATTGTGTCATCCCCATCCCTTGACTGTGGGTAGGACTTGGGAATGACTTTATTTCTCTCTGTAATTAGGTTACATAAGGTCCCTCATCAGTTGAGTTTGGATAATTAATTAAGCAGAAGAGTATACTGGGTGAACCTGACCTAATCAGATGAGCCCTTTCAAAGAGATTCTAGGCCCTCACTGTAGATTTGAAGGTCGAGAAATTCTCCTGCTGGCCATAAAGAAGTAAGCGACCATTTTGTGAACTGCCTGGGGAGGTGATCACGGTACAAAGATTCAAGAGAGGCCTGTAGAAGGTGAGAATTATCCCTAGCCAACAGCCAGAAAAGTGACTTTAGTCCTACGACCACATGAAAAAGGACCCTGAGCCCCAGATGAGATCACAGCCATGACCAACATCTTTCCTACAGCCTGGTGAGATTCTAAGCAGTGAATCCAGCTCACTATACCCAAACTGCTGACCCAGAGAAACTGTGAGACCTTAAATTTGTGCTAATAGCAGTAAAGTCAGAGCTGTTAGTTATGCAGAAATAAAAAACTAACACAAAAAGCCAAGCAATGGTTTCCCTTGGTGAGTGGGAGGTGGTGACTGGGAAGGGAATCTGGTGGAGCTTCTGGAATGCTGGTCATGTTCTATTTCTTGATTTGGGTGTAGTCTAAATGGATGTTGACTTCATAAAAATCCATCAAGCTAGACACCTAAGACATATACAATCTATAAATCTATGTTTCACCTCAATACAAAGTTTACATAAAAAGAAAAATGAAAACAGAATGGAGATAGGCATTGGTATGTATTGTATTATTTTATATGCAAAGTAATTTTAGCGTATGTATGAATCACATCCTACATCTACACATAGAATGATTTACATTTAGTCATAAAGGTTCCTAACATGGCTATATTTCTCTTAATCTCTTCCTGAGTCTTTTCAATCCTGTCTAAATTTTTCTCTTTTTTCAGCCCTATCTTAATTTGTATTCCTTTTTCTTCCCAGTATGAGAAAAAAAGAAAAAAAAAAAGTAAAAGAACTATAACTAAATTTTGTAATGGAATATTATCACTCCTTTGTTTTAAAATACTCTGTTTGTTGTTTTTGTTCTTGTTCTTTTTCTTTTTTTTTTTTGGTAAGCACAAATTAACACTAATGCATTTCCATGTCTCTATTTCTCATTTTTAAAAGTCGACTTCAATTTGTTCTTTCCAGTTTCTTCTTGTATGAGCTTTTCTTTATGTTAATTCTTTAAACATGTCAAACATTCCACAATCTGAATATAACAATTCCACTGTTTATATACCTTAGGTGTCTGTTTTGTTTTGTTTTTTCTGCTCTCATTGATTGTAGCTTCTTGGTGAGCAACGGTGTAGATAATTTTAATGTTGACTTTTTCATGTTAATGTTCCTACCTCACATAAATAGGATGAATTAAATCCTACAACAGAGGGTAGTACAATCTATAATACTAATAGATTATTACTATTTTTCTTTTCATTCAAGGTATGACAGTTTGTTTTGCTGTTTCCCTTGGGCCAAATGATGTGGTTTTACAGGTCCTCTTTCTTCCTGTATTTAACAGCCCTTTCTGAACACGAAGAGGGCTGGATCTGCACCTCTCCTCCTGAAAGCTCCGGGCCACAGTTCTGACCACCAGGACACAGCATCCACTTTTCATGCTAGCACTGCTCTCTCTTGTTTGCAGAAGGCAGGTATTGCCCTGTCTTTAATTACTGTATTAGTGTGCTAGGGCCACTATGACAAATACCACAGGCCGGGTGGCTTCAACAACAGGAATTTATTTGCTCACAGTTCTGGAGGCTGAAGTCCAAGAGCAAGGCGTCAGCAGGTCTTCTGCAGTCTCCCCGCTTGGCTTGCAGATGGCTGCCTTCTCCCTGAGTTGCATGTGGTTTGCTTGTGTGTGTGAGCATCCCTGGCGTCTCCGTATGTCCTAATCTCTTGTACGGAGGCCAGTCCGATTGGGTCAGGAACCCCCTGATGGCCTCCTTTAACCTTAATTATCTCTTTGAGGCCCATCTTCAAATACACTCACCTTCTGAGGTTCTGGGGATTAGGACCTCAACATATGAATTTGGGGGGGACACAATTTAGTCCATTAACAGTTATGCATGTAAAGTTTTGGGGTCATTTATGTAGCATTTCTATGTTTTTAATCTCCTATGTTGACAGTCGTCTTCTATGCGAATTTTAAAGTGTTTCAAATGTTATCTGAAAATATTCAAGACCCCATTCTCCAAAATTATAACTAAAGACCCACAATAAAGTTCTAAGTTTTTTTAGACTTTTTTTTTTAATTGTAACATTTCAGATGACTATTTCTGGGAAGGGGAATATATTTACAGATATTAGATTCAAGTAAATACTAATTTTGACATCTTTACTGCTTAAAGCCATATAAGCAAATTGAAAGAAAGCATTTGGGAGTCAGATGTGTCTGAGTGCTGCCATACTGGCTTTACCCTTTAACTACTGTGCTTCTTTGAACAAGTTATTTGACCTTTCTGAAATTCAAAGGAGGGTAATTCCACTCTTTCTGTGCATTGTCCTAAGCATTAAATAAGAATGTGATTTAAAACAATAGTTCTAGGGGCGCCTGGGTGGCTCAGTCAGTTAAGTGTCTACCTTCAGCCCAGGTCATGATCTCGGGGTCCTGGGATCAAGCCCTGTGTCAGGCTCCCTGCTCCGTGGGGAGTCTGCTTCTCCCTCTCCCTCTGCTGCTCCCTCTGCTTGTGCTCTCTCTCTGTCAAATAAATAGATAGATCTTCAAAAACAAAAAACCAAAAAAACAAAAAACAGTAGTTCTAAAATTTGGTGTGCTACTTTAAGGAACACTGGGAAGCACGTTTTAAAAGATGCCATTTTTAGGTCTGTTCAGCAGAGGAGTCCACGGGTCTATGGTCGGGCTTAGGAATTTATAATCTTAAAAAGCTTCTCCAGTTGATTCTGAATGTAGCCCAATTAAAAATAAATTCTAGATTCCACTCACTCTGATCCTACACATATAGGCAAGAAGAAAACAGAAATATATGACAAAGGATAAAAGGTAGGAAAAATCTGACCAGGGAGAAACATGGAGGCAGAAGGCATTCTAAATAATAGAAATAGAATGTAGACAATGAACAAGTGAAAGTAAATTTTAAAAAATTTTAAATGAAAACCTTTTTAAAATTATACAAGTCATATGTTATCATTGTGCAAATGCTAAGAGAGCAAGAGTCCCCCGTTCCCTCCTGCCATGTATCTTCTGAGACGTTCCGACGTTCACATACACACATACCCTCTCTGCTGGGTTTCAAAATTATACATACAGGATCATACTCTTTTGTAATTTGCTTTTTTCCCTCAATAGTACATTAGGAACACCTTCAGACCTGACTCATGTTTAGTGACTGGATACATCACTCATGTTCAGGTTTTATATGTAAAATGCAAATAATATATATTCTATATGTATTTACTAGCCCTTATGCAACTATTTCTGTAGGCTTGATTACCTGGGGAAAAGGGAATGCAATGCCCTTCCCACCTTTTTCTATATAACCTGACAATTTCACTTGTTAACGAAGAAATGACTTCAGTTTCAAAATATGTGAAATACATTCAGCTTCTCTCTATATATATATTCACATACATATTCAGTATAATATATATTATCAATATATAAAATCCAGCATAATACACAGCACACACAGTAAGTTAGGACTTGGTAAACTTCAGGACTGAGAGGAGTTCTTGGCCTGCTTGCCTGGAAAGTGCAATAGTCCCTTGTAGACCTCTTGTTGTCATTGTTTTCAAAATTTCTTCTAGAATAAAAATTAAAAGGTAAAATCCAATTAAAATCATCTAGCGAAGAGTGTATGATCACTAAACAGTTTAATAAGATGATAAACGCAGACTATTTACAAATTCTACTTACCTGAGAAAACAATGTATACCAAGTAAATTTCTATTAAAATGGACTTCGGTCAAATGGGAGCACCTGCATTTGCAAGGTGTTGTGGAGAACTCTAATCATACTGAACGGCCTTGCTTTGCAGTGGTGGCCTACTCTGGACTCAACAGAAACATTAATCACACTTGTCATTATAGCAAGTAATTAGTTTAGTTGCTTGGCTCCAATCCTGGCCTTTCCTTTGGGATGAAAAAAGTCAATGAAAGTAGGGCAAACTGTACAGTGACATTAAACAGTGAAAGTAAATGAAATAGCTTATTTCTTTCAGGTATATTGAAAAAAGTAACACCTTCCCTTTTGTAAATAAGTGATACTAAAAAGACTGAATTAAGAAAGTGGACTTACAAACAAAGCAAAACTTAGTAATCATTATGTGATTTGAGGGGCTAAGGATGTAAGGTATAAGATGAAAATCAAACTTGTGTACTGAAAGAGAAGAAAGATTATGGTCAATTTAGGACGGAGTCATCTGAAAACCAAGATCTAAAAATCCATACCATGAGCTAGCTTTCATAACAAAACTTCACATGAACTAAAGAGTACATAGCGGAACTGTCAAGGGCATGTAGACTACAAAGTGGAGAGAAAATTCATAATATTTAGGGTGAGGTGTTAAAAGAAGAAATTACAGATTTTGTGTTTGAATATTATTTTATCAATTAGGGGAAAAACTGTCCTCTCCCTTTAAAAAAATACTACTTTCTAAAACCAGAAAAAACTGTATCTTAAAAATCTCTCTTCTTTCAATATGAATGTTATGTTTGTGTGAGCTGTTGTCAGGGATTATATTTACAGTATTTCAGGTTACTTTATAGTCTTTAACATTATTAACTTTTGATTTCAGCAAAGTAAGTGGTTAAAAGATAACTAGTCTGGATTACCTGGATTGTTTTCTTTAATGGTAACCAGATAGAATAATCCTCTTGGTGACAGAAGATCTGGAGCCAGTGGGAAGAATCGGTCCATGACTTCCCGACCATTTCTGCCACCAGCCCAAGCGGCTTCTACTCCATGACTTCCTACCTGTGACCATTGAAAAAAGACCGTTTTGTTTTGATTCAAGTTACATTTAGAATCACACACAGAATCTTCTTGACAAGTAACATTCACCAAACAAGTATATACTTTGTATTTTACTGCTGTCCCGGAGGCAGAAAAGTTGAATCTGTGCCCCACCATTTCCTAGCCCTGTGACCTTATGGAAGTTTGTCATTTTTGTGAATTAGTTCCCTCCCTTATCTGTAAAATCAGAAAAACAATAGTTTTAACTGTTAAAGTAGAAAAATGGTAACAAATTAATTTTTTCCATTGCTAGGAATAACAGAGGAAATATATTTGAAGTTTGAAAACAGTGCTCTGCAAATATCAAGTGCTTAGTAAATGTTGTTACTATTTATGCAATGTTTATATTGATAGACATGGGTGATTCTTATACTTAACAATCAGAAAGAAACTAATAGGGAGATCTTGCATTATAAGAGATCTACTCTGCAGGAAGCTTGTTGAAACTACATGTCCTGCTGCATCTGGCTCTCTTCTAGATTTAAAATATGAATTGTACAGACCTTTTTAAGGAACCTGTTTAATATATAAAGGTTCACCAAAGCATTTTTCCCCATAACAATCTAATTCTATCGTAGAAACAAAACACATGAGAGTTCATACGGTACTAAAAATCTTTAGATTCTTATCACTGTATATCATTTTCAAAACTAAAGAATATTTTGAAGAAACCATTCAAAAACTATTTTAACCCTAACAATTATTTTCTTTCTATATCCTTCAATGGTTTTGTCCATATTTTAGTTTAAACTAATTGTATACAACCATGCCTACTGCTTTCATTCAAATGGTATATATTTCTCCATTAAATTTCTTTATACCTGTAACTATATACACATATTATTTTATAAATAAGGGAAATACATTCATATACCCGCTTTTTAAAAAAAATTGCACTTTCCCCTTTTACTGTTTTGCTTGTCTGCTCCTTCCCCATCTTACACACACACACGTTTTTTTCTTTTTTTGTCCATGTTTTACAAAGACAGGATTATATTCTATATTTTTACCCCATATCTTGCTTTTCTCACTCAACAATACCTTAAGATGAGCTCTTCATGTGATCAGGTATGGTTCTGATTTACTCTTTTAATGGCTGCCTAATATTTTATTTATTTTATTTTTTTTAAAGATTTTATTTATTTATTTGACAGAGAGAGAGAGTTAATGAGAGCAGGAACACAAGCGGGGGTGTGGGAGAGGGAGAAGCAGGCTTCCCGCCGAGCGGGGAGCCCAATGCGGGGCTCGATCCCAGGAGCCTGGGATCATGAGCTGAGCCGAAGGCAGATACGTAACAACTGAGCCACCCAGGTGCCCTGCCTAATATTTTATAATGGAAAAGTATCATATCTTATGTAGCTATTGATGAGCATCCAATGCATTCATTTACTTAAATTTTTTTGTATCTAATTTTTTAAAAACATTTATTTGTTTTAGAGAGAGCGAGCGAGAGAGTGAGCAAGGGAGCAGAGAAGGGGCAGAGGGAGAGAATATCCAAGCAGCCTCGTGCTGAGCGCAGAGTCCCATGTGGGGCTCGATCGCACAACACATAACATCAGGACCTGAGCCAAAACCAAGAGTTGGACACTTAACCAGCTGAGCCACCCAGGAGCCCCTTTTTGTATATAATTTAAATTATTCTCATATCTATCATAAACTTTTCAATACAATTTTCCACAATGTAAATTGTATTAGGAAATTTATCAGTTCCTCTGTTTTCTGTCAAGACTTTCCTCCTAGAGACTTCCCTTTCCTGGCATTCCTAGAATTACTTTTCTGGGGCTCCTGTCTTTCTCTTCCTTGGTATACCCCCTTATTTTGGTGGAGCTCATTCTATGCATGTTTCATCAGGTAAAGTGGTCTGTGGGAAGAGTGCCTGGTGATAAGCCTGTCTTTCGTTATTCTCTTCCAGAATGGACTAGTACCCCTCTGTGCTAGACCTTGTTTATATGCCTCCCCAGGGATGCTCAGCCAGGTTTATCTGCTTCCCCTTAAGGGAAGATCTCCAGGCACCAAGCACATTCTTATAGACCACAGAGGGAGGGTTTCCATCTTCACAGGGAGGAGTCACGTTTGGTCGTCTGCTGTTTGCCTGCTACCTGAGCCTTGCTGTACCTGCTCTTGATCCTTCATAGCTCACGGGCACAAGCCAGAAGTACCTAACCTCATGTCTCTACATATACTAGTAAGTATAGCCACAATTTTTTATATGCACAGACTCCCATTATTTTTATATTATGTCTCCTGGATCTAACCTCTAAGTCTCTTATCTTTTGCCTGCATGATTTCCTTTTTTATCTTCATGCTCTGTGCACTGAAATCTTTCATCTGGTTTCCAGAACACTGATTCAGGTCTTGACAGAGACCAGATTCTCTTTTAATTCATTTCCTAGTGTTTTATTTTGTAAAACATGTTTTTAAGCTCAAGGAAATCTTCGTTGTCCTACACTTTGATTCTGCCGTCCAGCTAACTGCTCAGCTCAGGGGAATTAGAACAGTAGCTCTCGCTGTTGGGACTGTGAAGGAGCCAAGGTCCTGCCTCCTCCCAATCATCTCCATGTTCCAGCAGCTGTAAGGCTCAGGAGAAGCAACTATGGAGCTTACTAGTGGGAATGTGGGAGAAAGGAAGCCCATACATGTCCCCATGTTCCCAGAATCTCCTCTTCATTCACTAGTCTTGCCAGAAGTTTGTAGACCTGATAGACCATGATTTACTTAACTACATCTCCTCTGTTACATAATTAGGTTCATATTATTTATCACCATAAATAAACATGCAATAAACATATTTTTGTGAATGTCGACTTTTATTCTGTTGAATGATTTTTTTTCTTTTAAGATTTATTTATTTATTTGTCAGAGAGAGACAGCAAGAGAGAGATAGCGCACAAGCAGGGGGAGTGGCAGGCAGAGGGAGAAGCAGGCTTCCCACCGAGCAAGCAGCCTGATTCGGGACTCGATCCCAGAACCCTGGGATCATGACCCGAGCTGAAGGCAGAGGCTTAACCGACTGAGCTGTCCAGGGGTCCCTTAAATGATTTTCTTAAATTATATCTCAAGGACTGAAATTATTGGACTGAAACATTTTTATCACTCTTGATATTTATTCACATAGTCTTTCCTAAAGAGTTGTATTAAGTTGCATTGCCCTCAATCTCTGTTCACCTTATGACTTTCCTTCTCAAATGAGTTCGTGTGTCAGAGGAGCAACAAGTTCTTAGTTGCTTAGCTGCCTTTAGTAGTAATAGCAGCTACAGAGACTTTTGCCATCTTAGTAGAGGAGAATGTAATGTTTATCAGCCTTGCCAGAGAATGATTCATCGATGAATAAAACAGGATCATGAATAATTCAAGGAAAGCTAGCCTTAGTTCGTTATTAAACTTTGTCTGCCTTGACCATTCTCTCTTTAAACTGGGATATGATTTACCTCTTCATTATTGAGATTTTCCAAATCATATATTTCAGGATGTTTCTTTTCCCTACCTGAAATAAGAGCCACCCCCAAAACACCTGTAAAAGGAGGAAATCGTTGACTTTCAGAAAGAATTCCTATAAGGAATTTAAGGATGATTTAAAATATTGTTTTGCAAATTTGCCATTCATGGTAAAGGACACACACACATGCAAATTTAAACATATGGCCTGATTTTGATGGGAATTTTAAGGATGAATATGGGTCACTGTATTTCCATTAGTTTGAGATTCCTTTCCTACGTCTACCAACATACTTAATTATTGACAATTAGGAGTAATATCAGACCAGTTTGTGTTACTCAGCAGCTGACTAATGTCATATAATGAAGTTCATTGGATTTTATAAAGAAAATAGCTGAAAATATTAATAATTAAATCTTGTTACATGTCTTACCTCTTCAGGTGGAGTCACTACATAGGGGGGATTAAACACCAGAAGATCAACTTTTTCCTTCAATCTTGGTAGTAAGCCTTTGACCTAAACGTTCCAATAGTCAGAATTTTAAGCTGGACTCAGAATTAAAATAGATAAATAAATAAATCTTTAAAAAGACTTTCTTCCCATGTTTTTAGAGAACAATGTGTTAGAGGGCTAAAATTGTAGACAGAGATGGAGATAAATATTTTTACATTTTCATTCAGATATAGATTATATGCATTTACCTAAAAATAGGAAATTAAACTATTTAACAGAATGAACATAAAAAGCCCAAAAGCCTCTGCTTTTTGACAGCTCATATGTTTACACTCTGGGTTCACTTTTAGAAGGTTAAATAAGGAAGCAAGCTCTCCTATGTTCTATATCGATATACAGATACTTTAAAGCTAGTGCTCTAACTTAAACATTTATTTTCTGTAACCAAGAGAAATGTTTTATGAGATGACAAAAAACATCAGAAGACACATATATGTGTATATATATTTATATATATTTATATTTGCTTTCTACTTTAATTATTCATAAATGTACTGGCTGGAACAATTAGATATCAAAGAAAGGACTAAAAAAAGTGGAAGAGACACTGAAAATCTCAGTTGTTTGGCATTTTGTAAACCTTTAAACCACTGGGTACAATTTTCTGTGGAACCACAACAAAAATGTCTTTTTAAACAAAGTGCTTTTAGGGCACAATGCCATTTAAAGTATTCCTTTGATCCCTCTGATGACTGAATTATATACATACTCACAAAACCATGTCTGGTGGGCACCCGGGTGGCTCAGTCGGTTAAGCGACTGCCTTCGGCTCAGGTCATGATCCTGGAGTCCCGGGATCGAGTCCCGCATCGGGTTCCCCGCTGAGCAGGGAGTCTGCTTCTCCCTCCGACCCTCCCCCCTCTCATGTGCTCTCTCTCTCTCTCATTCTCGCTCTCTCAAATAAATAAATAAAAATCTTGAAAAACAAACAAACAACAACAACAAAAAAAACCATGTCTGGTCATGTCACCCTGCACTGTCACAGGTACAGTAAAGTAAAAACACCACATCTGGATAGGTTTTCACCCCTAAAGCCATTTCCTTCAATTACCACATTGTACAGACTCTCCCCCGTGAATTTTGAGGCTGTTTCTTTCTTTCTTTTTTTTTTTAAGATTTATTTATTCATTTGAGAGAGAGAGCAAGCGCATGTGTGCACATGCAGGAACGGGGTAGAGGAAAAGGAAGCAGACTCCCCACTGAGCTCAGAGCCTGATGCGGGGCTCGATCCCACAAACCCTGAGATCATGACCTGAGTTGAAATCAAGAGTCGGACACCTAACCGACTGCGCTTAACTGACTGCGCCACCCAGGCGCCCCCTGAGGCTCTTTCTTGAGATGGAATAGCTGAAGTACTTCAAGGCAGGGTCCAAAGTGTTAGGTATTTCATTAACATTCTTATAATTCTCCCATATATGCACAGGGACCTACCATTATTTACTGAATATTTTTCATTAAATGGACCTTTTTCTGTTAAATAAGTTTGTTCTAAAGGGAAATCAGTATTACTTCCTGGAAACAGAAATGACTACAAGGATAAATATGATATAAATAAAAAAATGTTATGGCTATAGTTACTGCTGCCGGTCTGACAGTGACCCAGGCCATCTGTCTCTTTGTTAAAGAGACATTTGCAGGGAAGCCTGGGTGGCTCAGTCGGTTAAGCATCTGCCTTCAGCTCAGGTCATGATCCCAGAGTCCTGGGATCAAGCCCCGCATCAAGCCCCTCATCGAACCCTGTATCAAGCCCCGCATCTGGGTCCCTGCTTGAGCCTACTTGTCCCTCTCCCTCTCCTTCTATCCTGCTCGTGCTCTCTCACAGCCTCTCTGTCTCTCAAATAAATAAATAAATAAATAAATAAAATCTTTAAGAGAAAAAAAAAAGCGAGACATTTGCAAGTGTTTAAAAGGTGTTAAAACTGAGACCTTCTCCCAGATGTAATCAAAATGGCTAAAGGAGAATTAGAGAGGAAAGAGCTTTTATGTGATTCAAAGTTATTTAATACTCAGTCATACCATCTCAGTACTGGGCACATCACTGGGCTATTTACACACAGCGTGAAACACTGCCTTACAACTTCCATTTTATCCAGGATTCTAAAAGCAATTCTATGTTTGTCATCGTAATAAGCCTGTTAACTATACAGTTCAAAGAAAATACACGAATAGCATCTTTGAGGAGATATTACAGAGGTAACTTTTCTTTCCCTATTCATTTAAAAAGTGAAGAATAACATTTTTGAGGGAAGTGATTCAGGTATACCCTTGTCTGCAAGTAGGAAGGTGACTAGTGAATCTGCTGTTCCTTTCAGTAGTGATACTGCAGTGAGGAAATACATTTGAAATAACCAAAAGCTTTATTTTCAATTACATAAATAAATTAAGTTTCTCACATTGTTAAAAAAAAAAGCCCAGAAGGTAATTTTCCAGAAATGTTGAGTAAGGAAACTAGAAAAGAATTTGCTTTGTAATTGTTTATAATGGCTCTGAGGTACTATATACTAATAATCATTGCAGTACTGGATTTTAAATAAAGGAAAAAATGGATATTAAAACATGGAAAATGATGTAGTTTACAAAGAAAATGGATTTAAATAAGGAAGTCACGGTAGGCTGGATATAAGGTCTAATCACACACATCTCTCACCCATCCACATTCAGCTTTTGGGTGGTCTTAGAGCATTAGAACAGATCCAAGAATTGGGAAGTAAGCAAAAAAGGCCTCTGACAAGAAGTTTTAAATCCATATAGCAAAATGTACTTTATTCATATGAGAGGCTCTTTTTCAGAGCCCCTGAACACTTAGTTTAAATTTTTTTTTTTTTAAAGGAACACAAGCAGGGGGAGTGGGAGAGGGAGAAGCAGGCTCCCCGCTGAGCAGGGAGCCCGATGTGGGGCTCCATCCCAGGACCCTGGGATCATGACCTGAGCCGAAGGCAGACGCCTAATGACTGAGCCACCCAGTCACCCGAACTCTTAGTTTAAATCCAAGTTTAACTAAATCACTTGTTCAGTATTCTAGCACAGAGCACATGGAAAGAGAGTGTGAAAATGCCACCAACAGGTAATAGTAAAATAAGACAACATAAAGCAAGTGAAGAGAGAGACAAAGAGGAGAAGAAATAAAAACTCAAAATCACTGCAGGCTCTAGCTACTCAGTGTAAAGACACAAAGCCCTGAATAAGCCTCATTATCACACCTAGCACAGAACAGCAACTAAGGTTCATATTAATGACCCCGAATCAATCAAAGGTAAAGTTATGTTTAGTTTGTTTTAGGAATATAAGGAAAGGCATATGACATATCTGAAAAAAGTCTTTTTTCTAAAACTAAAAAAGAAGCAAAATAAAAGGTACTACTTTGTAAACAGGTAAGCTTAGTTATCCAAAACAATGACTTTGTATCATGGCTGTGATAATCTATGCTCAGTGTTCTGAATATAAACAAACAGAGAGTTCTGTAAGTGGATCATAATACCTATGCTAACACTTACTTCCTTCCTTCTTTGTCAGTACTCAGTGTCACCATCACTGGGAACCACTGAAACAGCTGACTCTGGCATGGACTACCATGAGCTGTGAGACCCCTAGATTTAGATTCCCATGGTCTGGGCTTAAATTCTGTTTTTAACACTTTATTAGTTATGTGACTTTAAAAAATGAACCTCACCTCAGTTTCTACCTCTGTTAAAAAAAAGATATTCTGAATTTCTTATATCTCTAAAGTTTTATCATTATATCAAAAACATATATTTAACACTAATCATGGACACATTAAAGAAACAAGTTAAAATTTTAAAGGGCAAAACCACCACAGTGATCCCATGTAAATCACCTGAGTACCTTTTTTTTTTTTTTTTAAAGATCTTATTTATTTGAGAGAGAGAGAGAGCACATGAGAGGGGGCAGGGTCAGAGGGAGAAGCAGACTCCCCGCTGAGCAGGGAGCCCGACGCGGGACTCGATCCCGGGACTCCAGGATCATGACCTGAGCCGAAGGCAGTCAGTCGCCTAACCAACTGAGCCACCCAGGCGCCCCCTGAGTATCTTTCTTGATAATCTAGTTTTTAATAGCAGTAACAAGTTCTAATAGGTAAGAATTTCTTACGTATTTGGCTTAATTCCTTCCAAGCCGAAAAGTCATTTGTGAATTTAAAAAAGCAGAAAAGCTAAATACTCTTACCACTGTAAGAATAATACAGGTCAAGAAGCACAGAAAGCGTTTTTCTTATCCCTACCTGGTACATGCTGTTATGATTTTTTGCTTACAAAAAAGCACTTATAACAACAAAAATCCAAAATTATCCAAGTCTTACTAATTAAAATATTAAAGGAAAACTGCAACTGGAAAATATATGTGTAACTTAAAATAAAATGATGGTTCTGTAATTGTGATGTGTCGTTTTCACCTGCCCAGGCCTCATTCCCCTCTTTCTTCTGATTTTACCTCTTTGATCTCGATTGGGTAAGCTCTCCTTCTCAATCCATGTGGCTTGGGTAGGGCTTATCCCAATGCAGCTGCTGGGGTAGGACTATGACTCAGGCCTAAACCAGTCATCTCCATATTTCGATCCCCTTTGGCCATAGTGAGAGACTGAGAGATGGTATATGATCTAAGATGATCCAAGCAATACTCCTTCTGGGGCTTGTTAGACTAACTGAATAGAAAGAGTTTCTTTCCATGGAGGGGTGAGGAAGGTGTTTGCTGAGAAATAAGATACAGACATGCAAGTATCTTCTTGCCATGAAGGGAAAGACTACCCAGAAATAGAGCCAATAGAGAAGTTCAGAGCTAAGAAAAAGATGCCTATCGTATCATTTGAGTTCCTGGAGCCAGCTGTGCCTGAAGCCACACACTCTCTTTACTTAAGCCAGTGCGAACTGGATTCTCTGTCACTTCTGACCAAAAGATGACTGACTGATCCTTCCAGGACAGTAGAAATTCCCTTTGAATATTGGACAAGATGAGTTACAACAGTCAAGAATTTACTTTGTAAATTATGGGGTATACTATTTAGTGGATTAAAAGTTAATTAATTAATCACCCAAGCTTCTTTGACCTAACCATCTTAACCTTAACTTATTTGAAAAGGAAATTAACTATTATTGGACAAGGATGAAGAGCTCACCAAGTCTGTAATTACTGGTTGAATGTGGACTTTGTTACAGTGTGCTGTCTCCAGAGTGCAAGCTGCTGCCTCAGGGTTGATGTCAGTGCACCTAGAGACAGAAAAGAAAGAAAACTCTTACGACCATGAGGCAAACCTATTACTGAAAAATTAAAAAATGTTCCACTGCTCTTATACAGAGCAGATTTAGAAAAAAATTAAAATGCTTTAATAATGGTGAAGGAAAAAAAACAAAGATTTGTTATATTAATGAAAAAGAATGTTATATTGATAAAATGTGCAAGAGTAGAAAATATACATATATGCATACACATCTGAAGGCATTTACTAAATTATGAATCCAATGAATACTATGCCACCACAAAAATGAAATTTAAAAGGAATTTTTGAAAAATAGTCATGATACAATATTAAATGAAAAACATAGGAAATGGGGAAAAAAAAAGAAACACACTTGGACCACATGTGGTAGAACTGGAAGTGACTTCTTTTTTCTTCTTTAAACTTTCCATATTCTCAAATTTTCTTAAGAAATTTAAGTAACTTCCAATTTTTTCTGGTAATCAGACTATTTACCTAAAAAATTTCAAATTTAGAAATACCCTAAAATTATTTTGTTGCTTCTATAATTATGTAGTATGATGGAAGTTTTGGACATGTAGTTAGAATTTTTAGGGAAGAATAATTCACAATCTGAGTCCTTATTACACTTAAGTAGACCCTTTCAGATATATATTATTTATTTACAAAAATGATTTCATTAGAGCAGTCATACCCCTAGTGAATTTCTTAGTGGGAGATATGGATGAATTTGATATACTTACACTTACATGTACAAAGCTTGAGGACCTATCATAGAGGCTAGGAATGCAGATACCACTCCAGACCCTGACCCTACTTCAAGGCATATTTCCACTCTAAAAAAAGCAAAATAAAACAAGTATGAGTATAGTAGGATAAAAATATACATCCCAGAAAATGACTCTCAATCTACTTTTAATATGTACTTTTCCAGCATCCCTTGTCCACAAATATATGGAAATATAAAAGAAATTTATAAACACACTAATTTCTGACAACCACTTCATGCTCATTTAATTGTTTCACTCAAAATTGTTTGGAGTTTGTAATTTAAGTCCATAAAATAAATGGCTTTCAATTAATTTCTATAAAACATTACATAAAAATTATGGAATAAGGTTGAGGGTTGAAAATATTTATATGAAAAACATCAACCCTTCTCACAAGGAGCTCCTAGTTTAGTATTTCCCCAAAATGATAGGGTTAGTAGTATTACATTATTTATTTATGAAAGATGTTTACTCTATCATTTAAAAGTACAGAACATTCACAAATCCATTAGCATATCCTAGGGAAAAAAACTCCTTTCTCTTAATAGATTTAGAGCAGCAAAGAAATTCCTTATTTGTACAGCTGTACACTGAACTGGGAAAATATCAGAGTATTTGATCTTAGAATATTAGTAGTAACTTTAACATGCTTTTGAATAAATTCTTCATTATACTGTATTTTATCTTTCAATTAATTTCCCTGCCTATAATCTACATATGCATGGAAAGCGCCAATTATTTCTATCACAGAAATGGGTTTGATGGGATTTGGGAGGTCTCTCCAGCAACTAAGTCCTCAAACAACTATCCAACTACAAACTCTAGCAGCTTCTAACTTTTGGAACCAGTCCACAATATGACAAAACTTTATTATTCTGTGGGAAGGTCTGTTGATTATTTGAAAATAACTATCATGCTTTCATAAACAGAATTCCAAGACCAGAAATAATCTGACTTCACAACAAAATCAGCTCCTTTCACAGCATACTTTGCAATGCAATTTGTGCTTGTAAATCTTTCGGGAATATCTTGAGACTAAAAGACAAATCATAAAAATCAGTACTGTACCATTCTATATTCCAGTAAATCCCAAAGTTCCATCGTTTACAATGGAAAGCTAGTTTAATAAGAGTTGGGGCATTTTATATATGGAAAAATCTGACCAGGTTTAAGAGAGATAAATAAACAAAATATAGAAATATAGATCTCTGAAGTCTGACAGCTGTTTCATCTTGAGAAAACCAATTTCAAGTCCTGATCTTTAAATAAATCTAATTACTTAAATTCCTTTCATTAAAAAAAATTACAATGACTTTTCATGTCATTTAAAATTTATGGGGGCACTTGAACAAGTCAATTTGATTATTTACAAAGTGCTCGGGAAAATTCCATAGGCTGCTATGTAGCTATTTAAATTTTTAAGTTAAATGAAAAATTACGTTCTGTGTCGTGCACTAGCCACATTTCAAGGGTTCCGTAGCCACACACGGCTAACCGGATATTGGTACAGGGCAGAGAAAGCTGTTCAGTGGGTTTAAAAATACTTCTCCACGCCTGGATCTCACAACCTCATTTCATTTTTGTGCCCTTCCGTTGCTACAGGGTGCTTTTGTGTACGGAGTAAATTAAATACGACGCAGCTTTTAATATTTACTAAAAAATTTAATATTAATAAGCAATATTTTCGTAATATTCGGTTTTTGAACGTGTTATAATATCGCTGCTCGCGGGGGCTTGCGTTCTTCAGACTAACAGGTGAAAGGAAAAGATATACGCCGGCGTGGAAAGGAGCTATGGAGCTCCTGCGACCAAAACAACACCTTGGCAAAAGTAGGTAGCTCCCTGGCCCGCTCATTACAGGTAACTACAGGAAAATCGTCTGTAACGGCATTCTGGTGTCAGTGTTCGCCAAGTATGCTGACACCGCCTCGGGGCAGACAGCATCCCTCCTTTCCCTGGCTCTCCTTCGCCGCCGCCTCTCCAGGACGCCCGAACCCTCTCACGCGGGGACCCTCGCCCTCCTCGCACCCCCTCAGCTCGGCCGCTGCTGCCTCGAGTGCGTCCAGCAGCAGGAACGTATCCTCCGCGGGCTCGTACACATTGCTGAAGGCGCCGCGGCCCACGTGCCCATGCCGCGGCGTGGGGAAGCTCGGAGACGCCATCTTCCTTCTCTCCGTCCCACGCGCATGCGCCAAAATTGCGCGTGCGCAGGCCCGGCAGTGGGGTGCGGAGCGCCGGATGCAGAGAGAAGAATCCGGGCTTGTTATTTCTAACAGTTTGTCAGTAAATGCTCTTGGAATTTCTAAGTAACCAGTTATATAATCTGCAACTGCTGACATTTGCTTTCTTATTTCGAATATTTAAATTTATTTCATTTTGTAGATTAGCACTTGATGCAGGGCATCCTCGACTGTTTTTGACTAAGGGGAGTGTTTTTATTTCTTTATTATTCATATAAGTTTTCTTCTATTTCTTGTTTGCAAAGAATTGAAAAAAAATATAATGGTTACTAAATTTTACTTTTGTTTTTACATCAACTGAACTTTAAGCTTTGAGCTTTAAGATTAAGATTTTTTTCTCATTTAATTTTTTTCTGTAGTATATTATAAAAATTACCTTCCTGTTGTTAAATCATGAAGGCACTCTTTTTTTTTAATTCAAGCAAGATGATTTTTCTTTTAATATCCTGCTGAATTTGGAATGCTAATAATCTAGCTCTGTTTTGATTATGCTATCCTCACAGGATGAGTTAGGACATTGTTTCTGGAACATTTGGTAGAACTCACCCATAAAATTGGATGGATTTAGTGCTTTTTTTTAGTGGATGGTTCTCTGCTGTTTGGGGGCATCTTCTATAGGTTTTTAGACTATTCAGGCATTTGCATTCTTTTTAAGTCAATTTTTGAAATTTCCCAATGAAACATTTTTACATCTAGTTTTTAAAATTTGAGTAATAAAAATACAGAAAAGTACTCAGATTCCATTTTTTAAAACCCTGAGTACTTACCACCCAGAATTGACAATAGTACTTTCTCATATTTCCTTAAGAGTTTTTATTTTATTTTTAAAATACATATTATATATTATTATTTTAAATGTATGTTAAATATAATATGATATTTATTATAGGGAATTAGCTCACATGATCATGGAGACTCACAAACCCAAAATCTGCCGAGCCGATTTCCCATCCTTAAAAGAGTTTTTAAATAGATGAACTAACATATTACAGATGAAGTCTGCATTCGCCTTCAGTTCCATTTTGTAAACCTCTCTCCAACCTGATTTCTCTCATGAATTTAGCATGTATCCCTCCAATCGATGTTTTTATGCTTTTACATTCAGATATTCATGAGCAGTGTATGGTTAGTGTGTCTTCAAATTTGTTTCAGTGGTAATAGGTTGGACAAACTGTTCTTCCCATTTCTTTTTCACTGAAAATTTTCACTCTGTGTTTTCATATATATAAAGTTAGTTTATTCCTTTTCATTGCCAGATAGTATTATATGAAAATATAAAATATCCTCTCCGGAATGGATAAATATCTATTGGTAAGCATTTAATCCTCTCTAGATTTTCACTATTATAAACAATACTGTAATTAACTTTCTCAAACATGGTTTATTCTGATCCTTCTGAAACAAAAGTTTCCTGGGATTCAAGCCAGAATGGATTAGCGTGTTGTATACACATTTTCAGTATTACTAAACATTTTCAAATTTCCAAATTTCTTTCCAAAGTAATTGTGCTTGGTTGGTGGCAGACTTAATATTTGATTTAATATTATTAGACTTATTTTTAAAATTTAAATTGAATTGGCCTGATTGTGGTTGAGTTTAGGCATGTGTTCATATGATCTTCATTTGAATTTCTTCCTTTGTGAACTGTCTGTTCATTTTTGCTTATTTTTTCCTTTTTAATTTTGTTTTTATTTTCATCAAAGTTGATACATGCATAATTTAATAGGCCAAATAGCGCTACATGAGTTATTATGAAAAACAGTCCAGTCTAGTACACCAGCATCTAATTTCTCATGTCTCATTCTCCAGAGATGACCATTTTCAACTTTTAGCTGTTTCTTTGGCCATTTATCCATATATCTATGTACTAAGCTTATAATGATACTACTTCATTTCTCAATTTTCGCATTATCTGTTGAATTCCCATGATAGAAGGTAAAGTTCACGTGATAGAAGGCAAGAAGTTGATTCCCCTGCTGCCAGTAAACAAATGTAATTGCCAGGCCCCCCTCTCCCTATCTTCCCAATATGGTTATATTGTGATTGATTGATTGATTTTTACATTATTCTGTCTATAGAAATGCTACCTGGAACTGATTTCTCTATTATACCTGTTACTTTTCTTCCTTGCACAACTTTTTGCTTTTCCTTGAAGTTAATAATCATCTGGTGTATTACTTTCCTAGGGTTGCCATAACAAATTACCACAGACTGGATGGCTTAAAACAACAGAAATTTATCCTCTCAATTCTGGAGGACAGAAGTCTGAAATCAAGGTGGTGGCAGGGCCATGCTCCCTTATGAAGGCTCTAGGGAAGAATCCTTCCTTGCCTCTTCTAGCCTCTGGTGGTTGGCAGCAATCCCTGGCCTTCCTTGGCTTGCAGCAGCAGCTTAACTCCCATTTCTGCCCTGGTCTTCATGTGGACTTCTTTCCCAAGTGTCTTTTCTTTCTCCAAACCTCTTTCCTTATAAGGACACCAGTCATGGGGTTTGGGGCCCACCCTAATCCAGTATAACCTCATTTTTTTTTTTAAGATTTTATTTATTTATTTGACAGAGAGAGACAGTGAGAGAGGGAACACAAGCAGGGGGAGTGGGAGAGGGAGAAGCAGGCTCCCCACCAAGCAGGGAGCCCGATGCGGGGCTCGATCCCAGGGCTCTGGGATCATGACCTGAGCTGAAGGCAGACGCTTAACGACTGAGCCCCCCAGGCACCCCTAACCTCATTTTAACTTGATTACATTTGCAAAGACAGTCTCTCTCTCTCTCTCTCTGTCTCACACACACACACACACACACGCACACACACACACATGGGGTGGGGTGGGGAGAATTTAGGATTTCAGCATATCTTTTTTGGGGAATGTAATTGAACTCACAACACCTAGTAATAACTGCTCTTTCATTTGCATAGTTTTCCATATAACACAGTTCAGCCTCAAAGTCTTTTCTAGTTGTTTACCCCCTGCCTGCCCTCTACCCCATCCCAATACATTTAAAGACATTGAGCATTCTGGGTATTTCTGTCTAATCTATTTAGGCACCAATATATGTCTCTGGGATTCATCCCTGGGTTCTGTTTCTTCAGCTCTATCCTCAGTCTAGCCCTTGCTCTGGGATTGAGTCCTGCATCGGGCTCCCTGCTCAGCCAGAATGGTACTCCAAGAGTAAAATCATGGTGCTGATATGGGTGCTGGGCAAAAACACAAAATGCATACTACATGGAAGTGTCTCACAGATGGTTGGTGATTACTTCCCTCTGGCTTGCTATTGCCTTTTTGTTTTGTTTACAATATTTTTTACTATGAAGATATTTAAAAACGATTAAATCTGTTTTGGGGGGTTTCTTATTTTTGTGCTGTGCTTAGAAAATGCTCTCAAAAAAAGTTTATTTTCTGGTTTCAAAGTATAGACTTCACTGTATTAATTGGATCTACCTCATTAACTAGGTCGTTAGATCTTTTTTTTTAAAGACTTTATTCACTTGTCAGAGACACAAACGGGGGAGCTGCAGGCAGAGGGAGAAGCCGGCCCCCACTGAGCAAGGAGTCTGATGCAGGACTTGAACCCAGGACCCTTGGATCATGACCTGAGCCAAAGGCAGACGCTTAACTGACTGAGCCACCCAGGCTTCCCCATGCAAGTCACTTTCTTAATATATATATTATATATTTTTAATATATATATTTATATATAAGATATATTTGTATATATCTTATATATATTTTACTTTTCATCTTGTTGAATACTTGGTGGACTTTTTCAATATGATCAGTATCTTTCTTTCATCAATTCTGGGAAATCTATTTATATGTTCTTTGATTTTTTCCTTCCCTTACATTCTCTGTTTTTTTTTAAATTTTTTTTTAATTTATTTTTTTAATTTTATTATGTCATGTTAGTCACCATTCTCTGTTCTTGTCTGCTGAAATTCCAACATATAGATGGAGACACACTAGATGTCTTCAGGTCTTTTTGTTTTTATTCTTTGTATCTGCCTTAGATTGGGCTACCTGGAAACGGATGCTGAGATGGAGATCTGCAGACAGAAGGCTTATTGCTAAAGTTCTCTAGGAGACAATATCTGGGAGGGAAAGATAAGGAGGGTAGGGTAGAGGGAGAAGTTGAGCTGTGTTGCAGTTGTAACAAAGGCCTCAGATGGCTGTTCAGGGAGTTTTGGGGCCGGGATGACCCTTCAGATTGTCCTGAATCCAAGCAAGGGGACCTGTGTGCCTTTGGGGAAAGGACATCAATTTGGGCAAAGCAATTCTCTTTCCCGAGGTTAATTCCTGGAGAGAGACTTGGCTGTGAGCTACCAGCAGCCAACAGGTGGCAGAATGAGTGGGTCCCTGGCAGGGATCTGGGTGGTGGACCACAGCCCCCATATACCATCTCTGTCATTCTGAGTGTAATTTAGGTTTCCAGCTAGCATATCTGCTCTTCAGTTGAATATATTCTGCTTTTTGCCTTATCTATTGAGATTTTTATTTGGTAGTCATTTTCTTTTTAAAAGATTTTTTTAAAGATTTTATTTATTTATTTGTCGGAGAGAGAGAGAGCACAAGCAGGGGGAGCGGCAGGCAGAGGGAGAAGCAGGCTCCCCGCTGAGCAGGGAGCCCGATGCGGGACTCAATCCCAGGACCCCGGGATCAGGACCTGAGCTGAAGGCAGATGTTTAACTGACTGAGCCACCCAGGTGTCCCGCATTTTCTTTTTTCTAATCCAGGGTTCTTAAAAATAATCTTTTGTTTCATGGATGCAATATCCATTCTCTTCCCTCTGAGGTTTTCAATTATACTATTTTCAAAGTTTCCATTTGTTTGCTGTATACATTCTCATTTGGTGACGTTTCCTTTGTTCATTAGCTTGTATGTTACTCTTTCATGGTGTTTGCTTACTTGAGATGTTTACTTTCTGCTTGCATGGCTATCTTTGTAGCTGAGG